ACATCATGATGATCATATAATTTTAAGAAGCAAGCATAAGCTTTTACTTTATGAAACCCTGTTTGTGGCTAGGTAAAGCTCCCAGAAGATAGATATACAGCCTATTATACTTAAGCTTTTGAAGATGTTCAAGTAGATAACGTATCTTACCCAAGTGTTTCATGGAAAACCAGATCCTGGAGCAATCATACCTCTTAGCCCCTTTCACATTAAGCCAGGAGCTCAAGCTAGATTTTCCTGACACTGTAAATGTTTTTATATGCCTTGCCACTACCTGCACATTCTTGTTGTACTTTGAACTTGAAAATTCTGTCTTGCATGGGTGGTAAAATTTCAGGTGTGGCAATGTTAGTTAATGTAAGCAAAGAAATGTTGCACTAAAGTTGACATAGTTCACTCCTCACATTTCCCTTATGTTTCCATATCAGATTTCTATATGTAGCCTTTATGTTGCCTAACCATGCCACCATCATATATTGTGGAAAGGTTTGGTAATTTGCTTAAACTTTCCTCTGTCTTTTGGTTAATAATAGTTTCTCCTTTGAGCTTCTAGCTAAGAACAGCCTCTTTTATAAAGATCATTTTTATAATTGATACGTACACTTTCACTCAAGATTGCAAATGAAGGAGGACTCTCATAAAAAATAAAAATAATTTTTTTTAAAAAAAGGCTTAAAAGAGCAACTTTGTCTTACCCTTCAGTGTCCCAGTGCTTTGCTCATCCAGTGAGGCTCCCAAAGGTGTACTAAAACCACAAAAACATAGAAGCCTGTCTTGTGAAAAGTGTCTGGAGAACTGTTACACACAGCCTTACTTAAAAAGTTACAGCTAAGCAAGCTTCTAAGCAATTTAGCTCTTCTCCCAACACACAGGAATGTGAATGGATTACATAAGTAATATCCTACTAACTAAGCAAATACCTATAGCCAAGTCAGTTCACCAGGAATCACATCTGATCTGCCAGCAATTAAGAACAAGAATAGTAATTACAAATAATATGAAGTGGCATTTTCTTTGCCAAAAAAAAATGGGGGGGGGGAGTAAAAATGATAGTATAAATTTAGAAAATATCTATTCCTCTCAATCCTTTCCACAGAAACAAAAAACAAAATTAGAAGAAAACAAATCTTCAGTAGCAGGTAAATTAAACCTTAGTCAAATTTAAAATTTTAAGAATCTATTTAGAAATGAGGTTCAATAGTTTGGTTAAACCTCATCTGTCAATTTATCACTAGCATTTCTAAGCAACATGTGGTAACTCCTCTACACCAGCAACTACATTTTCTGATATAAATGGAGAATCCTGAAATTCACTTTTTCCTTTTAAACTAAAAATTCCATACTGGTTTCATTTAATTCTGAAAATTACTAAAAAAATTGGCTTGAGAATAAACATTAAGAATCAGCTAAAATTTTTTCACATTTTTCTTGTCCAAATATAATTTAGAAATTTCTTTATTCAAATACAAAAATACTTTTACTTTTTTTTTTCAAAACAAAGTTATAGAAAGAAACATTGTTTTACAAGTTCTGTTTTAGGATATAAACCTTTTCTCAGTAACAATTGACACCTGTTACAAATTCACATCAGACATGGGATCAATCATTAAAACATCTGTTTCAAAAAAATTTCACTGAAATGCCAATTAAAATTTAAAATCTTCTGCAAGCAAATATACATGCAGTGGTAGTTTTTTGAAAAGTAGTGTTTCTGAAATGTAAAAGAATCACAACCAATTGTCATAAAGATATTAATAAAACCTTTAAGCTAAATTTTTGCATATATTTTAATAAAACTCTATGCCTTTAAAAAGCATTTCTTTTTCCCTTTCTTTTAGCTCCTTTCTTAGGTCAAAATACTTCATTACTCTGGCCACAGATGTCTCCACTGGTCTGAGAACTAACAAAAAATGGCAAATAAGCAGAATACAGCTGGTATTCTCCTTCAAAAACAAGTCTTCACTTTTATAGTTACTCTCTCCAAATTCTATCAAAATCTCCCTTTTTAGATAACAATTCAAGTAATTTGTTTCCATTTAGTTAAAAAAGAAATGGTTCTCAACAACTCCCTTTATGGAAAGAAAACCCAGTGTCTTTATTCAGGATATGGACAGCAATGAGAAAACAAAGAATATTTGAGAACTTATGGGGGTGGTGATGCTCAAATCTGGGAAGGACTCTAAATAGCTATTTAAAAAAAAAAAAAATACAATTACACGTATCCTAGCAGTCAACTCTATGATAACATGACAACATTAAAAGACTATTTGTTCTAGCTTTCCCCAGTACAAATGAATGTGCTTTTTCACAGAATAGGTGCAACTGTAGGAACAAGAACAAAAACTATGTATGAGAGGAGTAGCAGGCTTATAGAATGTTCCTACAGAAATCAAGTTCAGCAACAAAACTTTTGGAATTTTCAGGGGTCACTATTTCCCAGTGAATGTCAACATTTTGCTATTGCATTTATCCCGAAGGACACTTATTCACTTGTTCACTACCTAGTTGAAAAGATCTCTTCCACAATCTCAGTTCCTACACACCATAAAACAATTGTTATTTTTCTCTTGTTCTTAACTTTTAAAACTTATTTTGAATATGCACTTGAATTTAAACAATGAAACAAACTTATTTTGAAGGCAAAACCTATAATAAGACACCAAGAGTCAGTCAATACTGTATTTAGGACTATATTTAAATCAAGACTGAGATTGCAGGTTTAAAAGATCTGAGAAAAAAATAACAAAACATCCTCTTCAGTCACTTGTGTAAGAGAAAAGTTGAAAAAACTGGTTTTACAAAATCTCTCCTAAAATGTCCAGAAGATGCTTAAAATTTCAACCTTTCAAAATTTAACCTATTTTGGTGTTTAACAATTAAATGAACCAGTGGCACACTATTATGATTTCTTAATCCTGCTGAGTAGAGCCACTTTGGAAATGAGGGGGTTAAATCAGAGCTAGATTGTTAATCTGGGGGTGACTTCAAACAGTGTATTCACCTCTGTGTATCTTGAAAGAGAATCTCCATATATTTTATACTATTTCAGCAGTGTCTATAACACCCCCAATAAAAATTAAGAAATTCTGTAGTGAAGAGATTCAATAAGGCTCCAGTCAATTAATCAAAACAGTATATTAATAGAGTAGTAGCCAATATTTGTCATTAGGGGACAAAAAGTAAACTGGCATACAGGAGAACCAACTTTTCAAAAACCAAATAACTTCCCATTCTAATGCTTAAAGAAAACATTAAGACAAACCTAAATTGAGAAAGCAAAAATATTCTCAAAAGCAAACACCAACAAAGTTTAAAAGTTACATTCTTCATACAAGATTTTTAAACTAGCAAATAAATTGAAAACAAAAGTGAACTAAGCACATTTTACTATAGTCAGATTCACTTGCAATATGATTCATCCCCTCTGTATTTTATCAAACATTTTTGTAACTGTTGCCAAAGCATGCAATTAAACAGATTTATGCAGTCTGAATGCCTTCAAAGCTCTATTTCCTTTTGTAAATTCCAGTGCCATCTGACAAATCCTTGTCCAAGAAGTAAACTACAAGTACAAAGTTAACTAGTTTTAGTAGCTCCCCAAACAGAATTAAGGCACAGAAATAAAATTAAAGCCCATTTAGGGTAGTCTAACCCACGTTTGAAGGAAAATTATCCGATGTCAGATGACACATGCCAAAAGGAAAGCAAAATAAAATATTCTGTAAAACGTAAGATTTTTTTTCAAATAAAAACTGGGCAAATGTAACAACATGGCATAATGATCTCTTTCAGGTTTCTGATCTCTAATGCTAACATCATGTACCAACAGCTGAGGTCCTAATAACTGTAAAAGTCAACGCAACACGGTCTTCAAATAACAGCCACAGTACTTCCATTTCTAATCGCTTAAAGGAGGAAGCTATCCGTGGCTCACTTTCCGGTTCCTAGCTTACAACCGCCACAGGACCCACGGGGACCCGGCCAGAGTCATTAAGCTCCGGCGTCCCATGCCTGTTGATCTCCCTCTGGGACGCCAGCGAGGACTCACCGGCAGTCCTTGAGCCATATCGCGATCTTCTCATTGGGCACGTTTCCTGCGGGGCAGAGCAAGGGGACAGCTTATTACCAAGCCAAGAGGGACTCCTATTGCTGGGTCACTCAGAACACTCCCCTATAGAAAAATCTACTAGAGGCAAAATGCAGCCTGAGCAACAAGTCTTACTGCCCATCTGAAGGGAAATCAGCGGGCACCCAGGTGTCTATGTGGACGCTGGACACGCCAGGTTACACGCGCGCGTTTAAAGGTTGGAAGTGTCCCCTGTCCCCTTGGCCTATCGAGCACCGAGGGTCGCCTAGAACTCAGCGGGCGCCCGGGACTCACGAGACTTTCCCCGGCCCGCAGCCCCTGGTCTCCCGCGCCCGCCGCCGCCTGGCCCGGCGCACCAACCTCTCCCCGTGGGTGCAGGCAGCTTCGCGCCCGGGAGGTCCTCCTCGTCGTCCTCGTCCTCGTCCAGAGTCGTCGCTTCTGTGGACAGATCCTCCGTCTCCGATGCCTGCCAGGAGCTGCGGCACTTGGCCCAGGCCTTCCTCCTGCGACTTGCCACTTGCCACTCCAGTTCCTCCTCCGCCTCCGCCGACGCCGTCAGGGGCCGGTTCATGGCCGCACCGGGGGCTCCTCTGCCCCAGCCGGAGCCTGTGTGAGACACGGCGGCGGCAGGGACCCCCGCCCCTGCTGTCAGCGCTCGGCCGGGCTGGGGGCCCGGGGGAGCGGGAGCGGGCGCCGGAGGAGGAGGGGACAGGGAGGGAGGGAGGGAAGGAAGGGGAGGGAGGGGGCGGAGGGCCAGCGCTTCACATGAAGCCGGCCAGGCGCGGCGCGGGAGCGCGAGTGGCCCGGCGAGCGCTGCAGGACCCGAGCGCCGCGGCCCCCGCCCCCACCCCCGCCCCCGCCCGGCGTGCCCGGGGCGGCCGGTCTTCGCGCGTCTGCGCGCCCCTCCCTCGGCGGCGTCCCACGCCCCCTTCCGGCCGGGGGCGCGCGGGTGCGGCGGGGCGGGGCGCGGAGCGGGAGCACACCCGTCCCCGTCGCTGCCCGCGGAATGGGTGAGATTTGTTTGTTTGTTAATAATCATTTCTTCTGTCAACTCCTCCTTCATCCAAAAATAGCGACAAAGTGGGAAGGCCAAGTCTCACAAAACGCCCCCGCGCGAAAACAAGGGTCGGCTTGGGCTCCCTGAAACGCATTCTTTGAGGAGTTGCCTGAAGTGTCGTATATTTAATGTCCAAAAGACTGGGGTAAGGAAGAAACAGAGGCGAGTGATTGGCATTCTCAAAATGCCAAAACTGGAAAGGATCAAGTTTCATAGAGTGTTGCTTTCATACCCAGGAAAGTTATTTATCATGGTTATGTGAGGTGTGAAAATGAATTGAAAGAATAATTTGGAAATGTCATATTGAAGTTGCACATAGAGAGGTGCGTCAAATTGCTTAGAATTTGATGCTACAAGAAACCAGTAATGTCAAGGTTTGTAAATACATGAGCTCTGCATTCCCTTTGTTAGTTTTAAGTCTCCTGAGCAAATGACTCAAAATGTATCCAAAGTCTAATGAAGTATAACACAACAGTGTTCCCTTAAACGTAATCTACGCCTACTGTGTAAGACTTCCAATATTTTATCGTATTTGGCTATCTCCTGATGAATAAGTTGAACACTTTTTGATTCTAACATGATTGGAAAGAAATTTTGCATAAATATTTTAAGGGATAATTTTTTTCACTTGAATTTGAAAGGAAGAGCATAGTAAAATTTCTAATGAAAACATTTGTATTATAAGGTAATTAAATGTATTGTCATTGATAGCTAATGGAAACTATAATTTTTGGAGAATATAGACTATAGAATGCTCTTGAGGTGAAATAGTGCCAAGTTTTTATCCAAACATAAGGCATAGACTGCTGAAACTGAACTCTGATTTGACTGCCTTCATTCTTTCCCATCTTGTTTCTAGGACATTGCTCCAATTTATAAGTTTCAGAAAATCCATGTTTCTGAATAAAATCAGCAACTTCTAATGGTTTACCAGTATCCGAAAGTTCAGATTCAGACTCCAGGCTACCTTTCCAGAACCATCATAGCTTTTTACTGGGCCTCATATATTTACTGCAAATGTAAGGGATGTTAAAATAGTGGTGTTAGCATCTCAATAGCTTCAATTTTCATTATTAAAGATCTTTTCTTTGACTCTTCAAGACTTCTTAGCCTTCAGGAGTCCTGTAGTAGAATGCATCTGACCATTTAGTGACCCTCCAAAATAGGGCAGACCTACCTGTGGAAAGGTGGAAAGGTGGGAAGGAGTGGGGGAGGTGCTTAAAAAAAAAGCATGGAAAGGGCTGGTCAAATGATATAAAATATGCTGACTTCACAGTTTTATTAAGAGTCTTTAAGGGACTCCACCCTGTCTATCTGCTGCCCCCTCTTCAGTTTTTTGGCATATATGTGTTGGGGTGACTCTGTCTTTTCCTCTTCATTCATTCCTGTACTTTCTATCAAATATCTGCTTGATTTTCAAAATCCAGCTGATGCAGAACTTTTTGACTCCATGGTTTCACCCCTCCTACTCACATCCCCTCCACAGTTCCCAGATACAAAACAGAATGTCCATATCATCTATTTTCAAACTAAATTATTAAATAAAGACTAAGACTACCTCTGGACAGTATGTTTGGCTTACCAGACAAATTGCAAACTTCAGAGATATAAAGAACATTTGTCCAAACTCTTCTTGAACCCCTTATGCTTTCAGTACAGTGCTGATCCCAAAAGGAATACTGAATCCTCTTAAGGTGGTTGTTTATTTTGTTGTTTTTTTTTTTTTATGTTTTGAAGACTAGACACTCAAACTGGCAAAATATTTGCTTAATGTTATTTCTCCAAGGCCTATTATATTTTAATTAGTTTTGCTATTGCTTAAGTACATTTTTAGACAATAATAACAAAAAAATGAGAAAGGCATATTTAATATTTTAAAATCAGACAACCAGAGTCAAAAGAAAAAAAATACAGTAGGTAACATTAGAATACAGCAATTATTGAACCTTCAATAACACAAATGTATGGGTTTTTTTGCATGGCAGTTTTTAATGCAAAGCTTTGAGGTTACATATTGGGAAGGAAATTCATGAGCCAGCTTGTTATTATTGCCTTAAAAACTAAAGGATTTGAGCTGTATCATCAACTTTGAGAATTTTTTTTTTTAAATTCCCAATGTGTTTCATTTATTCAATAGCGAATGATAAACAGGAGGAGAGTCTGCTTCTTTAATACTTGTTTTCCAAACTGTAAATCTACATTGCAAATGCTCTACATAAAGAATATTGGCTGTCACTGATGCTTAGTTAGTGGAGGAAAGAACACATTTATATTAGATGTGGATCACTCTATCTAGCATGATATAATAGAAACAGTAGCTAGCATCTTTGGTGTCAGATTAAAGTCTGAAAGTTTTACATCTATCTATCTATCTATCTATCTATCTATTTATTGCTGTATGGCCTAGGGCAAGACAGCCAGTCTCTCTCTCTCTGGTAATAACTTTCCTCATCTGTGAAGTGGCAATCATATCTACCTTCCCCAATTGATGTATTACATGAAATTAAGTAGGTGCTCAATATGGATGTTAGAATTATTTTCTTGCAAAAGGCAAAAATAGACCAGTTTTATATGAGGGATTATTCTTATGCCAATGAATGACAAATATCTTCATGCTTATGCAGCTATATTTTAAAATTGGAATAATTCAGGCCAGGACAGAAAACATATTCTGGTTGAATTACACAATTTTAAATGGAAAAGCTTATATCATCAGTAAAATATTATGCTTGGTTTAATTACTTGGTTACATTTTACATTTCCAAACCTTAACACATGCCTCAAAATTACAAATCAAGTTTTACTGTGGAGGTAAGGTGTTTTAGTTCAGGACTTTTGTTTCTAGTCAAGCTACTGTTTCTTCACTAATATTTATATAATCAAAAATTTTATTTTGTGTCTCAAAATCTTAATAATTCTGAGTCTAATTAGTGGTAGAGTTGCAATTATATCAAATTTTTGCCTTTATTATGATCAAAGGGAGGTGTAAGGTAAGTAGAATATCTGATTAAATAAACAGTAAGCAGCCTGACACGGGGGCACACATCTGTAATCCCAATGATTCACAGAGGCTGAGACAGGGGAATCGAAAGATTGAGACCAATATGGGCAATTTATTGACACCCTGCCTCAAAATAAAAAGGACTGGGCTCTAGCTCAGTGGTACAGCACTTGCCTAGCATTTGTGCAAAGTCCCAGGTTCAATCACTGGTACCAAAACAAAACAAAAAGTAAAAACCTAATAACAATAAATAAATAAAAATAAAAAAATAAATGGAAAGGAACATTTTGTATTTCAAAAGGAAAAAAAAATAATTTTGGGTGAAATAGCTTTGTGAAACAATGCATATAACATCCCTTCCTCTTCTACTTTGTCCCAGTCACAAATGTTAAAGACTTGAAAAGTCCTCAAATTTTATTTTAAATTATCACAATTTAACTTTGTTTAGCCCAGTTGTTCTAAAATTCATTTCAGCAGCAAATATTTTGGTTCCCTCGATATATCTCTTGACATTTCCAGGGATACCAATAGAGTAATTTGCAATAGAATAAAAGTGAATGAAAGGAAAAGTTAATCAATAGGAGTAAACTCTTCAAAAACTTGCAAATATTTACTTATTGATCATGTAATTTAACTATGGTAGTCTGAATTTGATTGATTCTTTGATATATACTTATGAGCCATTATTATAAAGTATGACTAGTTATTATAGATATTTAAGGTAATAAGATTGTATAGTTAAGATTTATAACTCAAACCTGTTACTTATTCCTAGAAGTTTCCATATTAGCAAAAATTTAAGAATTATTGTATTAGTTGCTTTTCCTCATGAGGTAGCACTAATAAAACAATCTACTATTTTGATTTGCTCTATTTTCTTAAGTACACACCAGAGGGAGAAGAAGGTATTGTATTAATACCATTAAAACTTTGCCTTTTCTAATTATTTATACAATCTGGGTAAATTATTTGTATATTTTCTGATTTTGTGCATATTAAAGATTTGTCAATTTTATCACTCATTCTAAGATCATACTTTTTTAGTTTGCTAAATATTCCTAAATTTAACTTCTCTGCAGTGAAACTTTGTGGCCAACTTTGTTCTTTCTAGTGGCTCAGTTCCCATGTTTATGAGCAACAGGTAAAAATGGCTTATCTATTCTTCAACAATGGAATGAAGCAAGATTATGTAATAGAATAAGTTTTATTGGGTCTGTTTTATGAGTTAATGAAACAACTCAAGAAGATTTTGGAATCCTCTTTATTAGATATAGTTAATGAAAAACCAAAATATTTATAGTTACCTATTATATTATACATGTATATTTATATATCACATATTACACATAATTATGTGTTATAGTTGTCTATATTATCTGTGATGTTTAGATGCTCAAGTTTGGATCAGTCCATTTTTTTTCCTCTTAGTCCTGCCCTAAAATGTTGTTTTTAAATATCTATGGCATTTTGGATCCATAAAAGGTTTTAAAGATGTATATCTATCCATAGAAAATTCTCAGTCTATGTCAATGCCAATTGATAATAAGGATGTTTCTGTAGGATACCATAAACCAGGGAGATTCTAGCATATGCATTTTCTTCTTAGTTGAAGATTATTCTTTAGCTCTTGTATAATGTGTATTATTACCTTTTTTTGGAGCCATTTAGAACTTTTTGAAAAATATATTTGTTCACTGTGCATGTATTTGGAATTACATATTATATGTAAATCTTCCTTTCTATATTTTATGAATAGTAGAAAAAAGGAAGGTTGGTGACCATGTGTACTATGTATCTATCTAATACTGATGGATCTTGAAAAGCTTTAATTGGTCTAAACTTCATAATGGTTCTCTCTCTCTCTCTCTCTCTCTCTCTCTCTCTCACACACACACACACACACACACACACACCCCACACAGCATCTTTTTTTAAAGAAAATTAATTCTCCTAATGTGTGCCTGAACCTGAATATAAACCTCACTGGCCTCTCCCACCACATTTCCCTTCTCTAATCTCCCTTCTGCAGCTCCTTCATGCCCATTTCAGAACAAACACAATCTGCATTCAGAACAGGACCATTTACAAGTTGAATGGAGTTATTTTGGGTGAGTCATTGAAAACACAGTACAAAACCTTTCCTC